AAGGGAAAAAACCACTAGAGCACTTAGAGAATAATTAATAATTTCAATATAGTAATTTTAAAAACTAATTAGCAATAAAGTTCATAAAATGACACAAGGCGTGCTCATTGTCTCATTCATTACTCTCTTAAGAGGATTACTTGATGTCACATACTCCCTCTGGTCACTATTATAAGCAAAAATTCTCTTTTTAGATTCATTAAATAGTTGATGTATCTAGTCTACATTGTTAAAAGACTTTGATAGAGGATTAAGAGATTTGTGGAATGCTTGAGTGATTTGCACTCAGCTGATATATATATATATATATATATATATATATATATATATATATATATATATATATATATATATATATATATATATATATATATATATATATATATATATATATATATATATATATATATATATACTACTAGAAATAATTGTATTTTACATTTACAATGAGATTAATAATAATGCTATTTTCTAGGTGCATGCATGTTATTTCCTAGATGTAAGACTAACTAGATTCTGCAACTTCCCATACTAATAATTGTTACTAGTTCCAACATTTTATAATTGCTACTAATTTCAACACTCCCCCTCAAGCTAGAGCATATAAGTCAAATGCTCCAAGCTTGGAACAGATGTATTGAATTCTCGGTCCCCTTAGAGATTTTGTGAAGACGTCTATCGATTGGTCATTTAGGTAGTATACTCAATGATGGTTTCTTTAGAAAGAACTTTCTCATGAATAAAATGACAATCAATTTCAATATGCTTATTTCTCTCATGGAATACCATATTGAAAGCTATATGTAGAGCTGCCTGGTTATCACCACATAGTTTCATTGGTTGAGTATTTCCAAACTTTAACTCTTGAAGAAGTTGTTTAATCCAGATAAGTTCTTAAGTGCCTGTAGCCATAGCTCTATATTCAGCCTCTGCACTAGACCTTGTAACCACATTTTGCTTCTTGCTCTTCCAAGAGACAAAGTTCCCACCAATAGAAACACAATATCCTGAAGTGGAACGTTTATCAATAGATAAACCTGCCTAATCTGCATCACAAAACCCAACTATTTGAGTGTCCTATTTGTCTTCATAAAGTAGTCCTTCTCCTGAAGCCCTTTTAATGTACTTTAGAATTCAGGTCATTGCATCCCAATGATACGGACACTGCATGAATTGACTTACTGCGCCAACTGCAAAGGAAATATTTGGTCTTGTTATAGTTAGATAAATGAGTTTTCCAACCAATCTTCGATATCTTTCTGGATTAGAATAAGGCTCCCCCTGACTAGGAAGTAATTTTATATTCGGATCCATGGGACTGTCAACTGGTTTACATTGCAACATATCGGTTTCTTTAAGTATGTCTAATGCATACTTTCTTTGGGAGATAATAATTCCATCCTTTGACCGAGCAACTTCAATCCCAAAAAAATATTTAAGCTTCCCCAAGTCCTTAGTTTAAAAATGGCTACACAAATGTTCTTTCAATTGAGAAATTTTCTCTTGATCATTCCCTGTTATGACTATATCATCTACATAAATCACCAAATAAACACATTTATTTGGAGATGTATGACAATAGAAGACAGAGTGATCTGCTTCACTATGTTTCATTCCAAAAGCTTGAATAACTTAACTAAATTTTCCAAACCATGCTCGTGGTGACTGTTTCAAACCATAGAGAGATCGTTGTAACCTGTAAACTAAATCGGACTCCCCCTGAGCAACAAATCCAGGAGGTTACTCCATATAAATTTCTTCTTCCAACTCACGTGAAGAAACACATTTTTAATATCCAACTGATATAATGGCCAATGACAGATGGCAGCTATCGCAATAAATAATCGAACAGACGTTATTTTGGCCACAAGATAGAAAGTATCTCCATAATTAAGTCCATAAATTTGGGAATATCCTTTTTGCAACAAGTCGAGCTTTGAGACGATAAATCTGACCATTGGCCCCAACTTTAATAGCATATACCCATCGACATCCAATCGGTTTCTTTCCCTGAGGGAGAGGAGTTAATTCCCAAGTACCATTATGCTTTAAAGCTTTCATTTCATCAATCATGGCTTGTTGCCATCCTGGATGATCAAGTGCTTCAAAAACATTTTTAGGAATAGAAATAGAAGATATATATGACATAAAAGAATAATAAGAAGGAGAGAGATGATGGTAACTAAGGAATTTATAAATAGGATGGGGATTTCTAGTAGATCGAGTATCTTTTCAAAGAGAAATGGGTAAGTCTAGATTTTCTTCATGAAGGTTTGTAGTAGGGTCATCTGTTGGTGCAGGACATAATTCATATTGTCTTTCAGTGCCTTCTAATTCTGTATTAGCAACACGTGGATGACGTTGGTATACGATGGGTGATCTTTGAGATTTCTCAAGAGGAGAATTTTCAAAAATATTAGTAGTCAAAACTGATTCTGCGACAAGGGAAGGTAATAGACCAAGATAAGGAATTGGAAAAAACTTCTTGAGTAGTATGAGACTCAACTCTGGATGGTGAGAAGTAAAACTTTTCTTCGAAGAATGTTACATCTGCAGAAATGTAGTAATGATTCTGCATAGGGGAGTAACATCTATAACCTTTTTGTAACCTAGAGTACCCCAGAAAAACACATTTTATGGCTCGGGCAGAAAGCGTATCAAGACATGGAGACAAGTCATGAATAAAACATATGCATCCAAACATCCGAGGAGCAATATGAAACAACGATTCTTTGGGAAATAGAATGGAATGTAGTATTTTATTATCAAGAGAGGAAGAAGGCATACGATTAATCAAAAAGCAGGATGTCAAAACTGCATCACCCCAATGTCAGACAGGTACATTTGCATGAAGTAACAAGATTCTAGCAGTTTCAGCAATATGCCTATTCTTCCTTTCAGCTATGCCATTCTGTTGAGGAGTATGAGGATAACTTGATTGATGGAGAATACCATGTGCTGACAAAAAAGAAGAAAGACTAGAAGAAAAATATTCTTTTGCATTATCACTTTTAAGAATTTTGATTTTCTTACCGAATTGGGTTTTAACCTCATTGGCAAAAATGGTGAGAATGGACAAAATTTTAGGTCTTTCTTTCATTAAGAAAACCCAAGTGCATCGGGAGAATTCATCAATGAAAGTAACAAAATATCGGTAACCGTTAGAAGGCACGCGACTTGGTCCCCATATATCTGAATGGATAACAGAAAAGGGAGAATCAACTCGACTTTTAACTTTTCTTGGAAAGGAAGAGCCAACATGCTTTCCTAGTTGACACGACTCACAATTTAATGATGAAATTTTTGCAAGATTCGAAACCATTTGTTTTAGTTTTGACAGACTTGGATGACCCAATCGTTCATGAAGAATGTTTGGAGACTCAATCGCAGTACAACTTACAGAAGGAACTGAATGGAGGTAATAAAGACCATGTGATTCATCTCTTGAGCCAATCGTCTGACCTGTACCACGTTCTTGTATAGTAAATGAACCAACATCAAAGATTATTGTGCAATTTAGAGACCGAGTAAGTTGGCTAAGGGAGATTAAATTAAAAGGACAACCAGGTATAAACAAAACTTATTTCAAAGTTATATAAGGAGTGAGAAACATGGTCGATTCCTTTGGCGGTGACTTTAGAACCATCTGCTAGAGTTATGAAGTAAGGAAATTTAGGAAAGGATATGAAAGATAATAAGGAATGATTACCAGCAATATGATCAAAGGCGTCTGAATCAATTATTCAAAGATTTTGATTGTTACAAGATTGAGATATGAAGGCTGCAGAAGCATGAACACTAGTGGCAGTCGATCTATGAGATGATTTTCCAAAAAAAAACCATGAAGAGAGTAACATGTCTTTTGATTGTGACCTATACTACCCATTTTCTTCAAAAAAAAACAAAGTGGACCAGCAAGCAACAACTAGAAATGGAGACCAGAAAATGAAGGTAACAATGACTTTTGGAAGGAAGAAATATTCTTTCAAACTAAAGAACATTCAAGGGTTCTACTGGACCAGAGATAGAAACCCTTAATGGAGAAATGAGCAAGCTCTTGATACCATGTTAAAAAGACTTTGATAGAGAATTAAGAGATTTATGGAATGCTTGAGTGATTTACACTCAGCTGATCTATTTATATATATCTACAATGAGATTAATAATAATGTTATTTCCTAGGTGCATGAATGTTATTTCTTAGATGTAAGACTAATTAGATTTTGCAACTTTTCATACTAATAATTATTACTAATTTAAATATTTCATAATTACTACTAATTCTAATATACATAGAGATTAGATACATAAATTATTTAATAAATTTAAAAAAAGAATTTTTGTTTATAATAATAACTGAATGAAATATATGGATAAATTGGAGAATGCTATGTATTTATTTCTTCATATAGGAGTATCTTAACAATTCTTATGCTATTGAATAATATTTTTTCTATAAAAATAAAAGAATTTTTGTGACAAATTGAAGAAAAAAATGTCAAAAGTTACTTTCCTAATAAAGGTACTTTTCAATTTTAACAAAGGAATTTGAGGAAAATACAATTAGGGCTAGGAAAGCTGAATCACAAATTCCCAAATAAAAAACTTGTGAGTGATATTATAGAAAAGTGGCATATGAGTGGACCATATATTTGATGTGGACCATATATATTACTAGTTATTTCAAATGGACCTCTCAAAAAGTTCAAAGATTTACATTACTTTTTTTAGAAAAAGTAATAAAAAATTATAATAGTTATTAAATTTTATTAACCTCTCATGATAATATTTTATGGTATAGATTGAAATTGATTATATAATGTTTGCCAGCTAGCAAAAGTTGGAAGTAGCCATTTAGCCCCATGTTCACGTGATATGCTATAACAAACGAAATTTGTTTTCTTCTCATACTCTTTCCATCACTATTCCTATATATCACACCTTCACTCTTTCTCTTACAATCACTCCACTTCACTCTAGTTTCCCTTTTCTCTCTCAAAATGGAGTCCTCCTCAAAATTCTATGCTTATCTCATCATTTGCATGCTTTTCATCTCTTCAGCTACACCTATTCTTGGTTGTGGCTATTGTGGAAAACCACATAAAAAACACAAACCAGGTAAAAAACCAATCGTCACTCCACCTATCGTTAAACCACCAACCGTTAAACCACCAACTGTTAAACCACCTGTCACAATACCACCTATCACACTCCCTCCAGTTGTACCTCTTCCACCTCTTCCAGTCCCTCCCGTCACTGTTCCTCCGGTTGTACCTCTTCCTCATGTTCCAATCCCTCCAGTCACCGTTCCTCCAGTTGTACCTCTTCCGCATGTTCCTCTTCCGCATGTTCCAATCCCTCCAGTCACAGTTCCTCCAGTTGTACCTCTTCCGCATGTTCCAATCCCACCAGTCACAGTCCCTCCAGTTGTACCTCTTCCACATGTTCCAATCCCTCCAGTCACCATTCCTCCGGTGCTTAATCCACCGAGCAAAGGAGGGAGTTCATGTCCACCACCATCAGCTGCACCTACGCCTACACCATCACAAGAAACTTGTCCAATTGACACATTGAAACTAGGTGCTTGTGTTGACTTACTTGGTGGTTTGGTTCACATTGGACTTGGTGACCCTGCTGTCAACAAGTGTTGTCCTCTTCTTCAAGGACTTGCTGAAATCCAAGCTGCTGCATGTCTTTGCACAACTCTTAAGATTAAGCTTCTTAACCTTAATATCTATGTTCCACTTGCTCTTCAGCTTCTTTTGTCTTGTGGAAAAACTCCACCTCCCGGTTACACTTGTTCCCTCTAAACCAGTTAAGTTTCACTCTTCTACTAAACCCTAGTTTTCAAATAGCTAAAATAAACTACTATATAATGAGCATGTTTGTGGACAAAGTGGTACTAACCACTAAAGATTCACACAACTGTGACATCGAGTAACCTAACAAATATCGACTTCTTGCAGTTGAGTTAGAATTTGTGGACGGGTCAATGTCGGATTTAGATATTAAAAAAATGCATGCATGCATGATTATCATCTATTTAATATGAATTTATTTATTTTCTAAAGCTAGTTATGGGCCCATGCATGCATATAAAAGTTAATAATATAAACAAGAATCGAATATTATGTGCATAAAAACCATGATATTGATGGAGTATCCTTAAGAAAGGATGTGATGTGAGAGGAGTAGGGAAAATATATAAAATTACCAGAAAAAGGAAAAAAAAGAGCACATGGAAGTGTAAATTATTTAATAATAGGTATTGTACAGTTTTGTGCCCGTGAACTTGAAGTTTTTGTCTGATTGTATGTCATGGTCTTGCAGGTGAAGGGTTGAAATCGACATGAGAGGATGTCGAGAAAATCTCTATCTCTTCTTCACTCTCAGGATTGGATTTAATTACTGTTGTAATTGTTTGTTTGATATTAATTATTTGTAAAACCATTTGTTTTTAATTCAGATTGTTGCATGTATGTTTAGTTTAATCCTAGCTAGGCAAAGCAAACATGCATGCTTTTATATGTAACCTTTTCAACTGTTATTCATTTGATTTGCGTTTTGGTCAATATCCATGTCCTTCATATTATTTGCAGCTTTTAGAACCAAATCCTTTTTATTTAATTGATTATAGCATATAACATCAATTTAATCTTATATTGCACAAGTTGGTACCGTGTCCGTTTCTAATACTTGGAATCTATATGCCAATAATATCAATTTAATCTTATTGCACAAGTTGGTACCATGTCCATTTCTAATACTTGGAATCTATATGCCAATAAACATATAGTGCCAATAGATGAAATGGGATCCCATGCAGTCAAGTTTTTCACATATTCACAGTTCAGTTAGTGTAGGGATGTGGGACATTGCTCCATTTTTTGTATGTGCACTTAATTTCTAGTTAGTCTCATGTCAGAAAGATTATTTGTGTCCTGCCTGAGTACATTTATTGTTCTTTTTTTGGGATTAAGTTAATTATATAAGTTTGACTAAGTAATTCATTAAATATGAAAAGACCCTTCTAAATATTATAATTTAGTCTACAAAAAGCAACTCAATAATTTGTAAGATAACTTTTGACCGCGTAAGTGATGGAGATTCTAAAAGAAAACATAAGTTAACCACAAAATTAAAGATTAAAAAAAATTATTTTATTTACAAAATCTTTTGGATGAGTGGGATACTTCAACTGGCATATTATATGCAAAGCCCAATTTATATTTGTTAACTATTTCAGGAATCAAAGAAAACACATGTTTAATTCAAAGACGTACCAATTTATAATGACAAGAGAAGTTTCAAATAGTATAACTATTGGGGATCAAACAACCCTATCTTATGTCTCTAAAATAGCGGATTGAGTGTTTGCTTTAGTTTTGAGATTGGTATTGGTTTGTGGTTTTGCTATTTTTTTATGAATTTTATTCTATTGATTTGGCGATATGAGATCAAGTTTGTTTTTGGCAAAGTTGATTTTAGTTGCTTTGACCCTTTGACCTGTCGTGTTTGTTTAATCTATTTGTTCGTTATTATTATTTTATTGTATTTTATTTGTTTCTTTGATAGTCTTTTAGGGATTTCTTATGTTACATAACTATTTTTTTTTTTTTTTTTTTTTAGTGATTTTCACCCTTACTAATATATTATTTTGTCAATAAAGAAAAGAAAATGGCACCAGAGGTACCAAATTGTCCTTCTAAAAGTACAAAGATGAGAAGAAGAAGAAAATCTTCGAAACAACATCAAAGTAAAATATAGAATTTTTTTTTTGAATAATCAGGTATTAAAAAAAATCGTAAATAACCACGTTTCGGAAAAAATTACGCAAATAACCATGTTTCAGATGACTCCCCAAAGGAGGAGCCATCTCACTTGGCGCCTCCACCTAGGGTTTTGTCCTAGGCGCCATCTCACTTGGCGCCTCCTCTCTCTTTTAGCCAAGTGAGATGGCGCATGCACTTTAAAAGTGAGAGGAGGCGCCATCTCACTTGGTTCCTAGGGCAAAATGTTGTTTTTATAAATAATTTGTCCGTTTCTCCGTCATTTCTCACACTTTCTCGCACTGTTTTCTTATTTTTTACTCTATTATTTGCGTCATGACATCGCCCATGATTTTCACCAAAGATGGTTACGTTATCTTCTCCGCCACGAAACCTGCGATGAAAATGAAATTCTGACACATTCACTCCATGGAGCGTCTGAAGCGGGAGTTGATGCGATGGCTAGATGGAGACATTGTGGAGGGGGGGGGGGGGGGGAATTCGAAGGATCCAGCGAAGACGAACAACAACCTCACATGCGACTGGAAGACCTAATGTATGGTTGGAGGAAGTCAAAACAGACAGCGACGTAATGTTGATGATGCATGGGTCAAATGAAATTGTTTTAACAATTGTAATTTCGTAGACGGAATATCGTGTTTTTTTTCTTGTACGCGCAATATTTATTGTAGAAAATACTGTTAACGAAAAACCCTAATGTTTACAACATAATTAAGGAAAGATTTTATGTATTACAATTTTTATGTGGTCGAGGCAGTCGCCCGATTCGGACAATTTTTGCGATTGTGTCCGACCTGGCGGCATAAACCACACTTTCTTTCCATCTTGTCAAGGTCGTCCATTTCGGTTGTGATGCACTTACTTTTGGGATGACCCTTCTTGTTCCTTCGCATTTGGTCATTGTACCACACTATTTCGCCGTCGTATGCAGGCCAATAATCTGGTTTTGCTACCAAAGGAAAACTGTTGTTGTAAACGTTGAGCAACGTTTCAGATTTGTAAATGTGTGACAGAAGTTGTAGCGCGTCTTGATGGGTATAAGCACAAGAGGCAATGACATGAGAGCAAGGCATACGAAAGGCTTGAAACTTACCACAATCGCACCAACGAGAAGGTAGTATGACCTTATATTCTTGTCTTGGCAGGCCTTCATTGTGGTCGATTGTCTCTTTCACAATGAAGTTGTGGCTGTGTCGGTTAAACCGTATAACCATATGAGTGTTGGCTTTGGCACTTTCTGCCTTAATGTACTTCATGCAGCTTTCACTCCATAGTTGTCTAGATTGCAACACTGCATTCCATATTTCACCTCTTTTGGCAAACAACGAAGCCATCCTAAAATACGTAGATTTTACCAAAGCAGTGATCGAGAGGTTTCGTATGCCTTTGAATACCCCATTCATCGATTCAATAAGATTTGTTGTCATGTGCCCCCATCTTTGGCCATTATCGTATGACCTAGTCCATTTTTCCATCGGAATATTGTCGATCCACCTACCGGCTTCCGAATTTGACAAAAGGATCTCGTTGCGGTAATATTTGAACGTGGGTTGTGTCAATGCATATCCCGCATTCATAACCTCTTTCCTTAATGTTTTGTCCTTGATCTCCCTCGTAAAATTTTGGACGATATGCCTAACGCAATAGACATGCGTAGAAGGAGGGTCATGCCAACCGTTTGCAGGATTATTGTAGGCACTTTCAATGGAGGCATGTCTGTCCGAGATCAAACAGAGATCTGGTTGAGGAGCCACGTGTGTTCGCAGATTTTTCAGAAAAAACCTCCAAGCACCACCAATCTCCCCCTCGACTAGGGCAAAGGCAATTGGGAAAATGTTGTTGTTGTCATCTTGTGCAACTGCCATCAGTAGCGTGCCTTTGTATTTCCCATACAACCAAGTCCCATCAATTTGTATAATTGGTTTGCATGATGCAAACCCTGTGATGCAAGGTTGAAATGTCCAAAACACTCGACCGAATATTCCGTTTCCGTTTAGTTGACTACCATCTTGGGCGTATGCTGGCACTGTTTCCAGAATGTAAACAATACCCGGAGAATAAGTCTTGAGTGCATTCAGGTAGCGACGAAGTTTTTGGTATGACTCCTCCCAGTTTCCGTACACCATTTCAATCGCCTTGGTCTTTGCTAACCACGCCTTACGGTAAGATGGAGTATAGTTAAAAACCATGGTGATGTGGGAGATGATGGTTTTCACCTTCAAAGATGGGTCGTTGCTGACCAGTGGTAGGATTTCTTAACAAATGAGAACGTGGTTAAGTTTTCAATGGTCCTGTGATTGGGTAGAACTAACACAAGTGTGGGTAGTCATGGAACCTATGACCCAGCAATCACCTCTTAATATGTATGATGCAGTGAGCTTGAACATACAGTCATGGTGGACACACTTGATCTTGTACCTTTCTGGGTTGACACGGTCCACCTTAAAATCGAACGAGTTGAGCATGTGGAATTTTTTTATGGCTCTGATGCATTCATCTTTGTTACGAAACTTGTCCTTCTCTTTTAAGTTTTCATCCGACTGCATATACGGATTGAAAAATAAATCAGAAGATGGTTCATCTCCGCCCATGTTGAAGTTTGTCATGTGCGGAGGTGGTGTGTAGATCTCGTTTGCAGGAATACTAGGTATGCCATCATCGTCAGAATCATCATTCACCATTTCATCAAACTCTAACTCGTCATCTTCTTTTTCTTCATCAACTGCATCTACCTCTTCTTGTTCGTTCTCCAAAGGATCAACCACTTGTGTCACCTGAGGCTCTCGCAGCATAATGTACAACTCAATAGAGTCGTACCCAGAATACACATGGCTGGAAAACATATTCTAAAGATCCTCGTCATCTTGAATCTCAACCTTATAAAATATTATTTGGTTGTTTCCAAAAAAACTAGATTCTGATAAAATATTTGTGTCACCGGGCCTCGTCCAAGTTTGGCCTCCAATCATTTTTTGAAGTAGGAGAAATTGGCTTTCCCGTTTAAAAGAAATCAGATGTTG